CTGCGTGTGTATTCGAATAAATACCAAGGCTAGCCTAATCAGTCTTTATACAATTATTCGTACACATTCGCTGAATTCTTCGTTTACACTCATTCTCGTTCTGTGATCACTCGTACTCGATTCTCCAGCGACACGATTCGGTGTTTAACTATTTACATTTTTCGGAGGAATTGTCGAGGATAACGGGGATCAAGATACTCGTGCACATTATCTCGTTTACCTATCTCTTATCCTCTCCGTTCATCTCTATCTCATTTTCATACGTGCACGCGTGTCCGTTCGCACGCAAAATTCGCTTCTCTCACATATTCAGACGCACGCACGTGCGCACACAGTTTCTCTGTTTTTCGCATGCATTCTTTTATTACTCCGTTTTTGTGTTTAGCAGTTACAAAACACACGCTTGAATGTGTCATGACTCGGTCAGGAGGAATAGAGGTCTGACAAGAACTCGGTAACTTGGAGAGTTTCCATTCAAAGAAGAGTCACAGCCTTCCTTCGTTAGCCGACGTTTCCGCGTTAAACTTCCAGCCGTATCTAAAACGAACAAAGTTCGATAGCTGACTGACGCTAACTAGACGGTAAAAAAATATTTTCACTGGCCCGATCCTTCGTTTTTTCGTCGAACAACGCCTCCCTCGTTATACATAAGTAGCTGTACCGCTGCTGATATTGCCGATTCTCGATCACTGAATATGTAATCAGATTTCACGAACGAACGGCAAGATCAACGAAAGAAATCGACCAGATTATCTCTCGTTGTGTTCGCCGTCGAACGGGAACGGATTCATTCTCCATCGTGATATGTACGACGATCGGCCCACGATCCACGATCCACGATCCACGATACACGATTCACGATACACGATACACGTTACATCGTTCCATATACCGTAATAACAGTATTCGGTTTCGTTTATAGTTCGTCAACTTACGATACAATTGGTCGATTTACCGTAACCCGTAATGCCGTCCGAAAGAATACCGTACGCGCGTTAAGCCTTTTCGTCTATCTTTTTCGAGCAAAACATGGCGCAAAGGTCTTTTCTTACCTACCGACAAAGATAGAATCAAGTTTATCTAGTATTATTAATACCGTATCGATATTTAAGGAAACGCTTACGGCTCGCATGGAAAAATATACAAGTACAGTGAAAGCTTTATCATTTTTCCAAATCAACGATCGATTCTTGCGAATCAAGCTCGTTTATCGTCATCTGATCGTCCCGCCGTTATAATTACAACACGACAACACGACGAACAAATGAAAAGAAACGAATTCGATTCTACCGCCGTATTACACGCGTCTAGGTTGAATTTGTGCATTATTATTATTTACTATTTGTATTTATACTTTTTGTCGTGTCGTGTACGCTCATGAGAAGAGAAAAGAAAAAATGAATGAAAAAGAAGCGAGTATACGACGCGTACTCGGATATTGCGTGTAGGTGTGCGCTTTGCTTTGCTTTGCTTTGCTTTGCTTTGCGTTGCGTTGCTTCGCTTCATTTCCCTTTCCGTCGATACCATAAATAAAGCTTTAACTGCATTTGTTTTGATGCTTTCGACCATAGAAGAATAGATTCGAAACTTTGTATTTTTTTCACGAAAAATTTCACTCTATCCGATCCTACCAATGTATAAAAATTACCGGGGTTTTCCAGCATAATCTGCTCGAATAACCAAAGGCTTCCCCACCTAACCGATTCTTGCGTGTACGATTCGATAGCCTTTTCCCGCAACCGTCGTCGTTTCGATTCATCCGTATTTATTTCACCAAGCACACGGTTTAGGATCTTTCTTCGTGCCTTTACAGTCGTCTAGTATTCGCGGCAAGGCATGCCACCACGACTCGGCAATGGAAAAATCAAGAAATATCTTCTACGATAAGAATACATACATACTTTGTTGAATTTCTCGTATGGGGCTCGATTGAAAGATAGAATTTGCTCGCGTTCGTTCGCTGGTATACATGTACCTAACTATTGTTTTTAAACCACGTTGTCGACGATTCGTTCGGCGAGGTGGAGGAAAATTCGGGGAAGACGACCGCGATGAATAACGTTCGATCTGAAAACAGTCGACGCCGATCGATAGACCATGATTGTACACATTGAAAAATGTGATATTTCGATATTTCCGCGAACACGTTCGGTTCACATCGTGGTTCGTTGGTTTGTTCGGTAGCGCAAAAAGTGCATAAAAAAATACATGTGATTACGATTCAAACGACACCTACTCGATCATTCGTATAAAAAAGCTGTACGCTATACACGCTCGATCTGCTCGACAGTTGGAGCTAACCGTGTTCTTGATTCCATCTTTGTCTCTGCAAACTATGCGTTTCGCTTTTCGCGATTTTAATTACAATTTATCCCGTGAAAACGGTTGGAAGAGGTACCCAAAGGTAAAGATACTGTTCGTTTCCACGTATTCGTTTGAGCAGCAGCGTTTCTAATACACATCTCGTTACGTTCGAAGGTACAATAGTCGCGACTCGAAATCATAAGAAGATCCACTAATTCGTCGAGCAACTGAAACGCGTGCATCCTATTTACTCCGTACATTCTATCTACCGTATGTATAAGTAATATGTATAGAGTGCGACACAGTAAGTGGTACCACCGTGTTACTGTTCCTACTCTGTGCATGTATTAGTCTGATTTGTAAAGATTGTTCATAAAAATACTATCATCCTTTTTTTGAAAATCGTCGTCGCGATATCTGTTCGCAATTCATCGCCCAACATTGATATCGTAGTACAGCCATAAATAAATATACAGTACAATCTTTGTTCTCGTCGCTGTGATTTTGCCAAGTCTGCGTTCGGTTTTTCATTTCGACGAAAGCGCGTTGCAAACCATATTCTTGCACTTTCAATGTACAATCCGTAACGAGCAGAGATGTCGAAATATTATGTTTTATAAATACATATTATATGCATGTAAGTATTTATGTATGTATGTATGTATGTATGTATGTATGTGCGTGTAGTGTGTATGTAGCTTTCGATCGGTCTAATACGGGCTTCGGGCCCGGGTCATCGTTGTTCGTCGTGTTACTGATCGTGAACACAAGCAGCCGACCAACTCCACGTGGCAGAGACACTGAATTTCGTTGCCGCGCGTTGATCCAATTGAATTCGTGATTTGAAGATGATGCGATGTTTGCCCCCCGAGCTCAGCGTCTACCGTCTCGCGCGTCTCCAGCAACATTTAGAGAATCGGGAGGAAAAGCAGGAAGGAAGTGAATCACACCGATTCCTGCAAATGGTAACGAGTAAAACGAAGACGCGTCTCAAAACCAACCCTTAGGTATTCACGAAAGGACGAAATAACGTGGCAGTCGATGAAACAACTAAATTGTACGTAGATATTATACATATATGTATGTAACAGAGATCCGTAGATCCTCGCGATTAGTGGCAGTAGTCGTTCCCTTAACCTTTTCTAATTAACCGTCACGTGCTAACCTCGTCTAACCCGCTACCCGTCTCGTTTATCGTGACAATCGGTCGCTATTATTATACAACCAACTTTTTAGCCGTTTACGTTTCCTTACACTGGCTTACACTTACATATGTATGTATATGTATCGAAACCATTTCCATTCGCAAAACTCGGTCGAGTTCCAGCTATATTTCAAGTTTTAAGTAACCGAACTTACAACCCTCGGAAAACGTAACATTATCTCATTACGATATTGTTAGGCGCGCATACGTTTTCTCTCCCCTTCACCGTTTCTCATAATACAGTGGGATCATACGTATAATAGAAAAATCTGCAACACAATTTTAATTTACCGAACATGAGAAAGAAGAACGAACGTGATATTCTGGGGTAGAAAAAAAGCAAAAGTATTACAGAATCAAAAGCGAAGAGACAAGAACTAGTTGAGATGAAAAATAAATAAATACTATAAACAGGATGTTCTCTCGGCTAACTTCATCACTTCGAATAATGACTTAACGGTACCCTTTATAAAAATGTTAATAAAGTGCAATACCTCTTGTAAACAGAACGAAAATGTATGGAAAATGTTACACGAGCCAGCACGTGCGAGAAGCGAGTTATTTGATTCTTAACTATACATATACTAGGCAAAATGTGCCGCTATAATAAGTGGTATACACACCATCCGTAAACAATCGAGCGATGCACCGTCCACGCACCGTTCTGGAACGCTACTCAGCAAACCCGCCCCGGTCGACCAATTCCTGAGAGCGAATAGCCGAGATGCATTTTTCTTGTGTATAGGCGCGCGCGCGCATGTGTGTGTGTTTGTACGTGTGCGTATACACCTACACACACCGATGAGTACCTATTGCAATATCAATTATTTTTTATACGGTTGCTGTCGCACGATCATATTCAATCTCGAGTGTTCGCTTCGCTCGACCTAAAAATAATGTACATCGTCGATACATCGAACTCGTAACACGTCTGCATTCCGAAAAGAGAAAAGGCTCATCTCGAGCATTTACCGTATTCGAAACGGTGCAACGGATGGATTTGCGAGATATTGTATGTCTGACTAGATACGCGCGTTCCATTTTCAAAGTAGTTTCTATATTCATGTCACAGGGACTGGACTGAGGTTACAGAATCGCGAAAGCCCTTTGTTTGCAATTGGTCCCGATGTTTCGGGAAGCCGTTTGATATGAAAATTGGACGACTAAACGTTGTCCCGTTCAGACCGTGACTTCCTGTTCATGACACGAAAAATATAACCTTATACGCGGTTTCTTGGAGATTCATGGAGATTCATTCTTCTCTGTAGTGAAATAGAAATGTATACATATGTATATGTATGTACTTGATATGTAATTATGATGTTTGTCGTAAATTGCGAACGCCGATTGAAAATATACATACATTAAGTAGAATCATTCTCCGGCAATTTTATTCAACGAGTCAGACGCGCAAATATCTTTTCCGTTTTTGAAAAAATTCGACTTACTCGAAGAACGGTGTCGTCGATCGACGCTGTTACAGTACGTGTGTGCGTATGTGACACATGATGTGTCGTTCGTTATAATCCTTGGCATCGTTGACGACCTCCTCCCCCGAGAATACATATATCATATACTACCTATTCGAGATCAGCTTGAATCGAATGGAGTCGTTTGGAATGCGAGACATTTCACGAATAAGATAAGTCATAAGTAATGCGAGAAGCGGGGCGGGCGATTTGCTGTTGAAACTGTTTAGTGAGGCAAACACGTGTCGGAATCACCGCTACTGGCCATGGAAAAGTTGGCTGAATCGCGATCAGTATGTCTGATTTGACCGGCTACCGACGATATTTTCCCGTTCGCTTGCTGTATCTGAGGAAATGTGTGATGGCCCGGTAAAGCCCAGGACTGCGTGTGTAGCTGTACAGGTGGAAATCGTTTGACGAAAGGATTGTTGGCTGGGAAACTAGGCTGCAAAAGTCTAACGCCGTTATGGTGAGACGGCAGAGTGGTATGCGAAGGGACCGTAGAATGCATTTGCGATGGGTGCGCGACGCTCGCATGCCTTGGCACCGACCCGCAGCTTCCGGTCGTGGACCCGGTCATATGCGAACCGGCGACGCTCGCGTGGGACACGTGAGGCAACGGCATGGTCGAACAGTGTGGATACGTGACAACCGGTTGGGTCGGATAGTGCGGCAGCGTGGCGGACGAGGCGTGTACACGAATATCGTTGCCCTCCGTAAAAGACGTCATGCGCATGTTTGTAGAACGACCGAACGGCTCCTCGTTAGGATTCAACGGATCCGTGAGCTTTGTCCTCGAAAGTTTGCGCCTAATGACGACAGTTGCTTCGTTCGCGTTTTCAAGAATAGCTGCCGGGCAGCTGGGTCCAGATCCGGATCCGGATCCAGAACTGGAGCCAGAGCCGGGAATCACGGCATCATTGGGGTTCGCCGTCGCATTCATCATATTAGGATTCGCAAATAACGGCACGTGGTTCACGTACAGGGGTGAAGAGAAGGATTGACCACCACCACCACCACAACTACCACTACCACCACCACCGCCACTACCCACTAGACGACTGGTCGTCGTCGTCGCCGCCGCCGTCGTCGCCGCCGCCGCCGTCGGTGGTTGAATACCGCGCTGCAACGAGCAGCTACGCCATTGTTCTCGCGGTTCTTCGCCGGTTCGTTGCTCGCCGGTCAAATCGTCCACGCTGGTCGCTCGTCGTTGGCAACTCGCATTACTCGCGTTGCTGTGCACACCGCTCGACGACGTTTCGCTATGGCTGCTCCCGTTACTGTGACCGGCCATCGAACCAGTTCCGCTACTACCACCGACAGCCTCCAACGGTGGTGAGTTGGATGAATCCGAACGAGGGGTCAATTCCTCGTGTGGCATACCCGAATCCGCTCGGCGTAAGCAGCGCGGCGTTTGCCCACTGTTCATCTGAAACGAATCCAACGAATCCACGTGCGGCTATATTCGGTATCAACGAGAACGACGCCGTCAACAACAACAACAACAACAACAACAACAACAACAACAACAACATCGACGACGACAACGCCCGTTTCTTCGTTCCATCGAATGTTTCTCTTAACACCACGCTTTCTTGTATACGGTGTAATGAGCGCGTAATCACTTATCTCGAACAACAATATTAACGGTGTATGAATATCAAACAGGATGAGCCAACCATAATCATAGCGAACCACATAGGTAATTAGGTATATGTATTAGTATATTGTATACCGAACGAAAAGGGTGATCCCTTCGGTGTTTAACTTCACTCCGACGTGGCATCAAAGTTCTCGTCGTCGTGCCCTACCGAATAAATCTAACCGACCGTCAAATAGTTGGCCCACCCGCAAATTAAACGTTGAACATTAAGGTTGTTAGTACCTGGGTGTTAGCGGTTAGTGGCGCCGTAGTTACGTCGGTGCTCTGTGCGTGTGTTGGAGTCGGAGGTGGCAATGGAAGTGGCTCCAAGGTGGGATCGGACAAGAGGTCTGGAGTCAAGAGTGGCGAGGGATCACCTTCCGAGGGTTGCAGATCGCGATTCGCACTAGCGTAGTAAGTCACTTGGTCGTTGTTCACGCACTCGAGCAGCTGTTGGAATTATTGAAAACTGTTAACGATTTAAATTCGATATACACGATGCGAATTCTCTTGTATCCGAACGATACGAGTAAACCAAGAACTGGTTTAAAGGAGATACGAAAAAATGAATGGTTAAACTTTTTCCAAAAGGATGCGGTCGGAGATCTTTCGTCTACATGTACTGTCAACAACTTTTCAAGTCTGCTAGATCTGCAACTACACTTCCCGTTAATCAAATACAGTACTAGAACCAGCAGTCTGTAGACACGGATAAGTATGGGTAGTTCGAATGTCTCTAATAAAGGATTCGTGTACCAGAAATCTGTCGTATTCCAATGTCGTATGTATGTATGTATGTATGTATGTATGTATGTATGTATGTATGTATGTGCGTATGCATGTATGTACGTATGCATGTATGTACGTATGCATGTATGTACGTATGCATGTATGTACGTATGCATGCAAATATACCGGCACTGAAAAATTATTCGTACCTCAACGACTGAAAACAATATGCCGCAAAAGTAATATCTATAATTGGTGTTAGTCTGTGTTGTGATTGCACCGTAAACATTTTCGACAGGTCCTATGTTTTACCTATCCCGTTTACTATTAATGCATGTCAGTGTACAATCAAAACCACACACGGACAATTAATTAATGAACGTTAATATCGCAAGAGTACTTCCAAGCATATAAACACAAAAAAACAGATCTTTTTTTGTATCTTACGTCTCCAAACTTAGATATACCGCCCCTATGGGCTATCAACCATCTTCCCCACTGTCCAAGCAAAAGAGAACTGAATAAATTAAGAGTCGATAAAGAGAATCGAATAGAAAATTGTTGGGAAAGTTTGCATCGCGATAATAAACACGAGCGGTTTTAAACGTAATTCGGGACTTGTTCCAATTCGCTCCAAATGAGATTTTCTCCGGTGAGCGGTCAACGATACAACGATACAACGATACGACGGAACGAAAGAACGACAAAACGCGATAGGTCAGGGCTAGACAGGATATACATCTGATAGTACCTTGTTCTCTTCGGACGTTGAATCATCGGCGGGATTCAGAGACGTTATCAACGGTAATTCCCGTAGCGTAGCATAATCTCCGTCTTCCTCCGGTTTGGTTCCATCGACAGCACCGCCGCTGTCGCCCCCGACGCTGCTACTGCCGCTGCCGCCGCCTCGTCTGGCTTTTCCCTTATTACTAAAACAACAATGCGTCGAAATACGTTGGGGTTTAATGCAGCTTTTCAATCAAAATGTGTTCAGCGGTTGCGAACGGGGCTGGAGTAATAATACGAATCGTTGCCAAGGCCAATTATGTATGTATCACGTATCACACGTTCGATCGAGTCGAACGGTAACGTTCGCCTTGGCGAAACAGATCCATAGAGGGGAAGAAAAGCAACATCGATCGAATAAAAAGTTTTTAACACGATCACGGTCTATTTCGCCGGATGGTTAGCGAAACGGAAAATCACATAAACCAACAAGGGACACAGCGTCAGAGTGATTGCGAGTCAACAAATTCAACCTTCGTGGGTGCGTGCAACACACACGTTAGCGCTTTGCGAATCGATATTTTATATATATATATATATATACATATACATACGTACATACATACATATACATGTATGCACATATATGTACAGAGAGTCGGGGAGAACATTAAGTGGACGAGTACTTGAAAATGGTTATCATTCGTGCGTAATTAAAACAGCACAGTTCGTGATAACGTAAATTCCATTTATTCTATAATATATTCTCAGTGTACATAAACTATTGTATTTACTCAAGAACTGTAAGCAATTACAATACACTTAATTCTATCATTACTTAATTTTACCCCCTTGAGCTTGTTGCTATCAGCATTAAATACAATTTACTTCTATGGTAATATGTAACTTCCATAATAATATGTTGGTTGGAATTATTTTTTATCAAAAGTACGCTACCTGTATACGTGTACATATAATCTCAGGTCACTGAGAGTAAATATACAACCATGAACAATTAATACTGTTTTATATCTTTTTATAAATAATGCGCATACCGTACATAATATGTACTTAGGGTATATGTATATAGGTATGTACCTATAATAATAAATAATAAAATTCAAGTGAACACCAACTGAACTGTTTCGACTAAACCCGAATGATAACCACATTCACTGCTTGTCCACTTAATTTTCTCCCTGATTGTAGGCATAAATGATCGGTCGATCGATTGAAGCAGGGGTATATGTATAGTATGTACCTATTGATGCGCGTGACAGCGGAAGCGGAGAGTTTCAGACAATAGGCGAAATCGATAGGGTAAAAGTAGGTGACTGTTTGCAGAAGGAAAAAGCAAAGGACACGACTTGGGGTACTAATGACACCAAGTAGGTTGTACTGAAAGACACCAAGAGGAGGGAGGAGGGTAGTTACCGCGAGCCTGACGTACTAGGCAGGTCGTTAAAGGTGACCTTGGGCTTTTTGCATTTCTTGTTCAGCCAACCCTTTTCTGTTGTCGGTGGGCCGTTGGTATCGTTCGGTGATTGCGTCGGCGACGGTCGTAGTTTCGGTCTCAGCCAATAGATCTGCTCGTCGTCAGCTGCCGAGTCACCCTCACAGGAGTCTGTGTTCCCTGAAACAAGTGGCATCAACACTGCGAGCACGTTCAACGACCGCTTTGTGATTGTCTTGACAATGGCGAAGATAGAACGGTAGATGTTACCTTGTGCGCGAGCCTTCCTTTCGATGGCTGCCTTTTGTATCACGCTCATGATGGCTTTCTTGGGCGAAGCATCAGCAATGGTATAGGTTCTACCGTTGCCAACGACCAACAGCGGCGCACAAGTACCGTCTTCGTCGTCCCTGGCCGATAACAGATCGACGTCGGTCACGAGTTTAACCGATCTCGCGGACCTTACGGTCGCTCGGCCGATCGTTACTCGCAGCTTGAATGTCCACCGTTGTTTTATTGTTAGGCAGATCCATAACAACAACCAAAGAAAGAGGTGAAGAACGGTGGCAACGATACAAGCCAGAATCGCGCCATCCAGACTGGCGCGATACACGACACTGTAATCGTAGAGCAACGGTGCGCTACAGATAGCGATTGCCAAGAAGACACACAGGGCAGTGCAATGGATAAAATATATCCAATAATGCCGTGAATCTATAGAATCATCAACGAATCACCTCACCTTCTGTTCCTTTTTACTTTCTCCTTCTACATATGTACACATATACACTACAGACGACTACTACTACTAGACAACTACGACAACGACGACAACGACGACAACAACAACAACAACAACAACAACAACAACACTCACCTGCCGTAAGCGTAGAAATACATCACCATGCTGGAACACAGTACCAGGAGGGAGGAAAGACCAAACAAAACGAGAGTGACGTGTGGATTCAAGAGGAAGTACGAGTCTCCGAATATACTCGATATACTGCTGGAACTGGATAACGTGCGGTACTGTTGCCGGAGAACGGGCAACACTTTCAACGGTCCCACTACTTGAACCTGAAGGTTTTAGACGTGAAATCCTCGAAAATATTCGACGGTGAAATTTTCTTAACTCGCTTACCTTGTAAAGAACGGACATTCCAACGTATGCGAGTAAGCTTTGAGCAGAGTTCAAGACCAGCTGAACACTGAAAATTGTACCCAGTGCTTTGTTACACGACCAGAACACTGCGGGATATCTCACAGAATAAACTCCAAGGGCCACCGCGTAATTTAAATACTCCAAAGTGACGGGTCCATAAGATTCTGCTACAGAAATGTGCAAGTCAAATGAAATTATCTTATTCCATAGGTACGTTATTCGAGAGACCACAGAAAACTGGACTGTCGTGTCGCGGTTACGTACACTCGCGAGTAAACTTGGCTTCCGCGTGGGGGAAAAGCGATGTAGGGGAGGGAAGGGCCTCCTACAATTTGGTATCGGGAATTATTGAAATTTATGCCATATTAACATTTGATTTAACATTTATTTCGGTACTTGAAATAAATTTACCAAGTGGTAGAAGGCCCTTCTCCTATGTCATTTTTCCCCCTAACGGAAGCCGAGTTTGCTCGTGGGGGTACACATATATAATAAAATCAATCAAAACAATCCTTACCAGTTTCAATTTCGAGATTCAATTTCTCCGGATGATCCAAGTCGGCCAAACTATTCATTGTCAGGGACATACTCTGCACCGTCATGTTTCCTCCGGTAACCATCCCGATTACTGGTCTAATGGTCGTCGAACTTTTTCCGAAACCTCTCGTCTTTGATCTGATCTTTGAATTACTGTTTCTAAGGATCGTTCTTGGAGTCGGACGTTTAACAGTGGCACCGTATCTGGCCGTAGTGCTCTTGATGATTCTCGAAGACGCGGTCATTGATTTCAACATCGTCATCGCCGCTGTCATTGTTGTCGTCGACGGCATCGATGTACTTGCTGCTACAGACCCACCAACTGCCACTACTTCTATCGCCGCTGGTGCCGCCTCCGTGGTCATCATCGTAGTCATCGTCATCGTCGTCGTCGTCGTCCTCGTCGTCGTTGTCGTCGTCGTCGTCGCCGTCGCCGTCGTCGTCTTTGACCCTGTCATTGCTCCTGTCGTTATTTTCATCGTTGATCCCGTTCCCGTTCCCGTTACCGTTCCCATTCCCGTTAACGTACTCAAAGTCGGTACAGTTTTTAACAAAGTCGCACGGCTATCTCCTGGTTTGAAAGACGATGGAACCTTGCCGCTATTCGCAATCGAAGCCGAGCTAGTATTAAAAAACCGTGCATTAAGGAAATTCTCTCCATCGTTCCCGGAACGAGACTCGACGACGGTGTTAATGCCAACGATCCCTGTTGCATTTGGACTCGTAGTGGCGATATCGTTCGCTCCATCGTCGATTTCTTCGTTGGGCGTTAAAGTGACAAATGGTTGAGGAGTTATGAAACCAGTTAGAATGCTAAGGTTCACGTTCGGGGTCAAGAAACTGGATACAACAAGTCGGTCACGATGAATCACTACCCAATCGAGGTCCGTACGCCATATCGCGTCTGTAAAAGAGGAATTCGTGTTATCTCGTCGTTTTCCTTATCACCCTAGTTCGCGATATTTCGACGCGAACAACATATTCGTTTTGTCATCTATTTCACGTGATCTCCAACCCCTGCGTAACGTCCAATTAAAACGGAAAAGGTTCTTCGTACAAGGCAACCACGTAAAGTAATTATTCTCAACATCTCGATGCTTTCTTCTTCGACATTTTGCAACTTCATACAGTTTTCAAGTAGGAATGCGCGTGGGACGCGTTGCCAATAAAAATACCAACAGTTAAAATAACGTAACCCTCTTCATTAACAGATTGATATCCGAATGATATACGAAGAGTAAGTTATACCGCCGCCACCGCTGCCACTGCCGGTAAATTGTGTGCATAATAGCACACACCTGGCCGATCGATACTCGAGCCAGGACGTGGTCGGGACGAATTTTCCCCTGTTACATCTCAAATACCCGTTTCTCGAAACGCGAATTGTTTTCCTTACAACGGTCGTTCATGCGGATACAGAAACGATATCATCATCGATTCTTTTTCTCTTTCGACAACGCATTTACCGAACATGTACAATTTCACCTTACGTACACATGTAACATATGTATGTTGCAACGGTGAAGTAATAGTAGTGCGTCCCCGATTTCGGAATACATACTCGGTACCATTCTAATCGTATAGGCGAGAGCAGTTCCGTGTCGCGCTCGAGCCTCGAGGCACTCGACTCGAAACACTCGCGTTCATGTCCGGCTTAACGTTGGGACTACTACTTGTTCCGTACGATGCCGCGTCGACTCTACTATCGCGACAACTATACCACCAACAAACGCGACGTGTGTCGTCGTCATCGTCGTCGTCGTCGTAGTCATCGTCGTAGTCATCGTCGTAGTCGTCGTCGTAGTCGTCGTTGTCGTCGTGTTGGTCGTCGTCGTTTGCGGTGACGGTGACGGTGACGGCGGCGGCGACGGCGACGGCGACGGCGACGGCGAAGAAGGTGACGTCACTATAGTAAAAAGTACATTTTTATTCGTCTTCGCAGCCTTTGTGCAAAACTAATTACGCGAAATACATATAAATATATAAGGGGAGAGCTGTTTGTTACCTTTAGGCAAAAATCCGGCATGTATAAGCCTGGCTTCCATGAGTAGCGAAGGTAGGAGGAAGCACATGGCCGTGCAAAGATGCACAAACGCCGCCGTAGGACCACCGTGTCGCCATAAATTGTTTGCCAGGCCTAGGAACGGTTTAAACGAGTCAGCAACTCACCGACATGAACCCAACGGAAACTGACGAGGTTCGTTTGCATGGTCCAGTTCAACTTTAATTGCCCCACAACGAATGTCTCGAACATTTCGAGCAACGCAGCGACAGAAATACATATGTAGCACGAGCAAACCGAAACCGAAACCGAAAGTGAACAAAATTCCGAAGTTTACTCACTGTTGTCAGGATTGTTATTGGTGAGCAACGAAGAGGGTGGATCGCGAGAGCACGCGGTCAAATGACGGCCAAGCTTTATTCCATCGTTGGCGAGATTGCCAAGCTTTAGGAATGCTGCTCCAAGTAGGACCGGAAGTAAAACCACTCCGGTACCAGCGAGCACCAAACAGGCATACAATTCAAGCTTTGGCGGCGGTGCATCCGCGGGCCAAGGTAACGACAAGTACGCTGCCAAGTAAATGTACACCGATGACCGATTAAGATTACGAATTCGGTTTGTAAACTTGATAGGACAAAAAAAAAGCTTGGTAAATAAGAAAACAACAACTTACCGGCAAATCGTTTCGCGTATCTCATGCCGATGTAAGCTTGCAAAGCGACCGCCAAAACGCCGTACCAAACGGACCACAAGCTGTTCACATGGCCACGTATACACGAGTTCCGTTTCGTTGGTCGGCGCGACTTTCTCGTTTTCCCGGTCGTAGCGACGCCGCCGCTCGAATTTATACTGGATACTATGGGAAGCGGCTTCAGTGGTTTTTTGCATTTCGCTTGGTTTACCTCGTTGTTGTTTTCGTAACCCATCAAACTTCCGGTCATTGACATTTTGCTCTAGAAAAGCACAAGTCGGGAAAACGTTTGGTTAACCACTGCACCGCATTGCCACGAACAATCGACGCTTTTTCCTTTTTATCGAACAAAAGTTCTTTACCAGATATTTTTTCAGTTCCTTCTCGTTGGGCATGTTCGGTGACGGTGGCGGTGGCGGTGGCGGTGGCGATGACGGTGCCTGAAACAGAGAGCGGGAACAACGAGTTCTAAAGAAAACGAAGGGAAGAACGACATTTCGAAATTCAGTACATTCTGTCGATTCGTAGAGATTATACCCAAGTATGTATTTACTAACAACACATATAAGTAAAGGACGAGCGTTGGGTTTATCGCGATAAAATTCGATCATGTATTTATATTATACATATTTTTCAAACAATCAAACGACCGAATTACCGAACAAACAAAGAAATCATTTGTTGGGGCTGCATGCTCCAACTGATAAGTATTGTGTGTGTGTGTGTGTGTGTGTGTGTGTGTGTGTGTGTGTGTGTGTGTGTGTGTGTGTGTAGGTATGTATGTAGATATGTATCTACATGTGTACACATATACCTACACGTGTATGTACTATGTAGAGATATATCGTTACTAAGCTAGACTTTGCTACTCCTGCGAAGGATCTCTTGTCCCTCGAAACGTGGCATCGACTAGCAGTGTGAGCAATGTGAGCCTTTTTTCGGTGTCAACAGTCTGACCCATGAGTCAGCTTGTTGGCATGGTTACGAAACATCTCTCGGTCCTAGCCAGGACTTTTCGAATGGTACACGTGTGCATATATGTATGTATATATTTCGCATACGTATCAATGTGTGTAAAGTTAACCCCCCATTGTGTGAAAAACTAAAAAACGATTGTTGCCATTAGTTTGTACTAGTTTTGTACCGCGTTGTACCATTGAGCGTTTTCTAACATTGGAAACCATTTTCGAAATGAACAATATTGAAAGTTTTTGCTCTGTACTTTGAAATTGGTGTTTTTTCCATTTTTTTCGAAAACGGTTAGTGATTTTTCAAAGTTGAAAAGTGAAATGATTCGCGCTTATTACGCGATACTAAATATTCTTTGATAAATCGATGCACCGAATAACTGAAAAATTTCATGAATCTGGAAAACTAAGGAGAGACCCTGCGCCGTGCTGGTCCAACGAGGGAGGAGCATCTGGCAAGCAGGCAAGCAGGCAAGCAGGCAGGCGTAGAAAGGCCTCGCGTCTTTTTCTCTCGAGGGGAACGAAAACTGGTAGATTGGGTGAACCAAATAAAGAGGATTCCTATCGAATTACATATTCGTCTTGGCTACTTTAGCTCCGTTCGTTGAAATTTCCCACGATCTGCTCTCGAAACAATGCGAGCTCTGACAAACATGTTACGGAGAATGTTCGCTTGAACCGACGAGAAAGGAAAGTGTCTTGAAATTGGTGACCAAATAGAGTGACATCTACACGTAGGTATTCGATTAACGTTATATTTATGATTCTTTGTAGGTTTCGAATCAACTAGAGTGTTGCATTGCCCGTTAAAAAGATCTTTTCATTGAGAAAATTGCAAAGTCCAACTGTAATCGATACTTATTTCTCCGATACAGTTGGGCAAACGAGTGAGTAGAATCGGAGTAGGGTCGATCGAACATCTCTTATCAGATATCGATCGACGAAAACACAACAAGACAAACGGAATGTCACGTCGGAACTAATCGGTCCCGAAATTCATTAGGGAATGATCAATCTTTGGAAAATTCAATATCGTTCGAATGGAAGCTGGCCTCAGGTTGGATGCTCGACCTGCATTCACTCGTCGATGAGAATACAGGGGTACCTTCTGTTTATCGGTCAACATCGAAGACATCGATAGAAGAGATAGACAAGTAGATGGCAAGTTACCAGTGACTAGCAGTCGTTTTTATAGTATTACAGTACACAGTGGTCGTTTCGAAGGGTCCGTGGATATTGTAACACCGCGATACAATTCAAGTTGCTCGGCTTGGTTCGACTCGGCAAATTAAATCAGCAGACAAAGACCCACCGTTTGCGATCGCGTGTACGTATGCTTGATTCCCATTCGCAACTGGCTCCATTTTAGCTTTACGTTTGGTTTCTCCGTGTCCGTACAGAAATAGCTCGATACGCGAGCGGATGTGAACGGGTGTGAACGGCCGTACACGCATTCTCCGTATACATATACAGAGGGTGGTTACCATGTTCGCTATTCCAAATTCTCATCAAAGTATGTATGTATGTATGTATGTATGTATGTATGTATGTATGTATGTATGTATGTATGTATGTATGTATGTATGTATGTATGCATGCATGTATACATACGATCCAAGCACGTTACAACAGTTACACCATCGAGCAACGTCGTTCGATTGGACCGATGAAAATGAAACTGTGAGAAGTTTTCCTGTCGTTCAAGCCTGATTCGAACGACGCCGTCACGTCCGTTGCTCTTATGGGCCGCTCTTGCGGCCGGAAGCAATGGAACGATGAAAACCGTGCGGTGGTGGTAACGGTGTTAGTCGCACGATACAACTGTCCCAGACAACCTGTCACCGGAAATCGGTTTCCCATCGAAGCTTCAACACCACGATACACCTCTAGTAAAAGTATAAATGTTTCCATCCCTTGTTTCGTTGTAAATATATACATATATACGTACACGAGCTTTCCGATGTACATATCCCGTAGCCCGTGTGTGTCGCGTCGCATCGCGTCGTTCGTAAAATTCTCGTCGAAACAAGCATCGCATTTCGATACCAATGTTTTACTACATTTTTCTTATATGTATGTATACCTATACTCAGCGGAGTTGAAATTTCGATCGCAGACTCCACGCGAACAAATCAACGTAAGAAGCTAAGCGAATCTCGTTTTTTTAGGGTATCTATCGACGTTTCTCAGAATTTGCTATTTCTAGTAGGTACCTAAACTCGATTGTTGCTGCGGCATGAAACAAATCATCATCCTACATCGTCTTGCGAAATCGTCGCGTCGGAGCAAACCTCCAATTGATTCGACGTGATGTTTCCCGACATCAAAGTACATTCTCACTGAGTGCGTAGATACATACATACATATACATTTGTCCATACCTACGTATATACATGTGTATGTAGGTATACACCTCGATACATGTTGCTGAGAGAAAGAAAAGCTGGTAAACGGATCGAAATGATATTCACTTTTCAGCGAATGATAACACTTGGTGTCAAACTGTAACGCGAAAGCAAACTGCCAGAATATTTCTTGCCGTCGCTTCTGCCCAGCTTTCCCCGGTAAATCGATAGAACCAGGCCAGCCGGTGCTCGGAGAACCGCGATTCCCTCTTTTCTCGAGAGGGAACCACACCGACATGTTTCGAAACTGTGAGCTGGGACTGCTGCATTCCCTGTATCTTTTTCACTTCTCTATTATTCAGAAAAGATTGTTATCCCAACACACTCACGGGACAAGGTTCTCTTGGTATATGTATGTTGTATGTATTTATGTATGTATGTATGTATGTATGTATGTATGTATGTATGTATGTATGTATGTATGTATGTATGCAGTGTATGTATGTATGTATGTATGTATGTATGTATGTATGTATGTATGTATAAACGCCGAGTTCGTTTTTGCCAGCATCGGTATCGATGAATCATCCTTCTCGGTCCTCAAGTAGATAGACGTACATGACATGCTGATCGTACATAGGTGTGTATGTGTATCGAAGATTGTGTGGAGATTTTCACGAGGTTTCCCCAATGACTCATCCTCGGAGTTTACCACCCTCGGTTCAACGTTCCGGAGCACCGCGACTCACCGCGAACCCGAAACTGCCTCCAACCACCATAATACTATAATACTATAATACTATAATACTATAATACCATAATACCATAATACCATAACCATAACCTTACGCCTTACAGAGATTCTAACATCCGTGTTTTTCTTTCCATGTGGTGGTATTATATGTACATATACATACCTATACACCAGTATTGCCGTATTTGCTGGATCATGAGTTCTATACAAAACAGTTGAGAGCCTACTTTTTTCGACTTTTTTTTCACACATACAATTCCACGATATTCTATGAGTTTCTATCATTTTTTCTTACTTATCGATTTCGCGTGTTGAGAAACTCGGAACCTATAGGAATTCAATGACTATGGACAAGCAAAGTGCCGGACAGTGATTTTCACCCTCTTTTCTTTCCGTCCTTTCATCGTCCCTTTTACCGCAGTTCCCTTACTTCGACAGTCACCAACAACTCGCATTGCGTTTTCCTCTCTATCTCTCCGACACTATTTCCCTCTCCTTTTCTATCTCCGTGTCTGCCGTTTTCCGTTTCCCGTTTCCCTGCTTGCTCTCATGCCCTGCCATTCAATCAATACCTGATGCCGCACACCGCTAAACACCGACAATCTAAATGGGATGTAGGTACTACGGGATACCACTACTTCTATCGTGGACTCGAACAATGTTCATCCTCCTGCGCGATGAAACTGATTACTGCGATTCTCGAACGATTCCCTCAACAAAGTCGGCACTGAATTCACGAAATGCGTTTACTTTGGAATTTTCATTGGAAATTTGATTGATAGGAGACGCAGTGTTCACCGTGAAAGCACTTTATTTAAATAATTGGATACCGATAAATCTCATTAGATAAACTCAACACGTAGGGGTACCTGTGATGACACATGGTGACAACGCAACAACGTACAAGTACACAGATAGAGTATAGAGTATAGAGTATAGAGTATAGAGGAACAACGACGAATCAACTCGATTGTTTCTTTGTTTACGATAACCGAGATTCACTTGATCGAGAACAGACGTAACAGGACGGGGGGACAGATGAGAGTAGAAAAGAGTATGTGACAACAAAGTGGCAAGCGAAAAGGTTTTCTTGCAATGTCATAGGAAGATTACAGGCTTTGCGGTTCGGTGTCTCTACTAGAAATCAATGGAAACAGCAGTAGAACTGACGTGTAATTTCCAGAAAATTAGTTCCTTTGAACGACAATAGAGTAAACAACATCGGAGGCACCCCGTCCCTTGACCCACATTCTTACATCACTGTCAAGTTCCTGTTTCCTGTACGATTATAGCGCCGTAGCTAATTGCTCGACCACACGGCAACCGCATTATTCCCCATTACCGTTCTCCCTCTCTATCGGAAAACCCACATAGACCTTCATTATCGGATTGCGATGAAAACGAACGCATCGCAAACTTGCTACTACCGAGTTTACCTACGTTTCGTAAGGTGCAAACCTTTCGACGTATAAAAAGAAGATCGCGAGTTCCACACAGTGTAACGCGTCAACGAAAGAATGCAACGGTAAATCGTAAATCAAACCGGAAA